GTTGTGTCCATCTACACCTAAAAAATAAATATTAAAAAAAAAAATAGGGCTGGGGATGTGGCTCAAGCAGTAGCGCGCTTGCCTGGCATGCGTGCGGCCCAGGTTCGATCCTCAGCACCACATACAAACAAAGATGCTGTGTCTGCCGAAAACTAAAAAATAAATAAATAAATATTAAAATTCTCTCTCTCTCTCTTTAAAAAAAAAAAAAGAATAGAATGGAAAAGAACAACTTGCTGGCTAAGGAATGTTCTTCCTAGGTTGTATGCCTGAGGTTGGAATAAACCCCAAAGTGGTCATTTGTGACCTTAATAATGTCCTCTGCCATTTCCCCTCCTGTGAATAAGGTAAACTTGCCACTTAAAAGTTGTGTCTGAGCAGGGCACAGTGGCACACACCTATAATCCCGGCAGCTCCGAAGGCCAAGGCAGGAGGATCCAGAATTCAAAGCCAGTCTCAGCAACAGCAAGGCACTAAGCAATTCAGTGAGACCCTATCTCTAAATAAAATTAAAAAAAAGGGCTGGGGATGTAGTTCTGTAGTTGGGTGCCCCTGAGTTCAATCCCCAGTACTCCAAAAAAAAAAAAAAAAAAAGAGAGAGAGAAAATCATCTCTTCTATCAAGTCAATGCTTCCACAGGGAAACAATGCTGTCCAGAGGAATGAGCACCTGTCTGAAAATCTGGTCATCTAGGTTACAAATCTGGTCATCTGGGCTTTGTCCTAGCAAAGCTAAGTGACCTTGTAAAGGTAATCTTACTCTTCAGGGTCTCAATACAAAGGATATTACTGAAAGAAGTGAGATAAATTCTTGAGCTAAGATGCAAGGATTTTTCTTTTACCATAATATACTACGGTGTCAAGACAGTCTTTACAAAAATAAGGGCTCCACACTGCACAGGAACACACACCTTAATCCCAGACAGTTGGGAGATTCAAGCAGGAGAATGATGTTTGAGGCCAGCCTGGGCAATTTAGCAAGACCCTGTTTCAAAAGAATAAAAAAAGGTCTGGGGATGTTGTTCAGTGGTAGAGTACCACTGGGTTTAATCTGTAATACTACCCCCCCCCCAAAAAAAAGGACTCCATGAACTGTATAGGAATTAAAAGTCACAGATATTTGTCTGTCTCTGGGCTCCGCTACTAACTGGCTTTATGAGACTTTAAGCACATTACTGCTATCTATCTATCTATCTATCTATTTATTTATTTATTTATTTATTTGAGATAGGGTCTCACTACATTGTCCTGGCTGATCTTGAACTCATAAGCTCAAGAGATACTCTGCCCCAGTTTCCTCAGTAGTTTGGACAACAGGCACACTGTAATTTACTGAAAAAGAGGTTTCCTCACACATAAAAAGAGGATGGTAATAATATCTACCTCAGACTGTATAGCATAATATAGCAACTGTACTCCAGTTGGTACAATGTAAGTACTCAATAAAAGGTAGTAACCATGACATTATTCCTGAGTTTGATTCATAGAACACTAAATGGATTAATAACTTTGAACTAAAAGACAAGAGAGGTCAATTTCAAAGTTGCCTCAAAAAGGCATCTAGCATGAGCCTTCACTGCCCTTTGCCACCATTTCTCTGTAAATAAAGGGAGAAAAACACTTTGTATCTCTAGTACAATGAATCAGTTTTGATCAAATACAAAATACATAAAACATAAATGAGAACTATCTGATAAAAGAACTAAAGGACACAGACACACTCTATTATAAAGTATAAAGTAATGTATGATTTCTGTTCAGAAGACAAAGCTAAAGTTCACATGATTTAAACTCAGACCTCCTGGGAGTTCAAGATTTCCAGGATGATCAATTAAGCAGCCATTAGTATATGGGGCTAATATGGGATAAAAGTGGCCTCTGATATCAAAGAGCAGGCAGCTTAAGAAATGCTTCCCGAAAATAAAATATACATATATACTACATATACATACATATAATGCTTGTTTTTATAGCTTTGTATATACTTAGTAAAAATGAAACCAAGTTATAGATGCCATCACATCTTTCATATTTGGTTAACTTAATAAATGAACCAAAGAGGCTAAGGACTTAGTTCAGTGGTAGAGACTCTACCAGCATACACAAGTTCCTGCATTCAATTCGCAGGGTGGTGGTGGTAGCTGTACAAGAGTAGAGTGTTCTGAATTAAATGAGGCTTCCATCACCAACGTGCAAAATGTACAGCAAGCCCTATTTCTACCTGTTGCTTTGCCTGTAATAGCCACACTGCAATATTATTGCAAATAAAAGGTTAGGGATAAGGGATGCTTCATCTAATCATAATAAGATATAAAGCAATTAAGACTTCCAATTCATTATTCTCTCCTCAAAATCTGACTTAAATGTTTCTTAGCAAAATTGGAATTGCAAATATCTTGAAATGTCCAGCTTTAATTTTACATACTTTCAGGATAAGCATATCTCGGAATTAGTATCCCAGTATGAAGAAGGCACTAGATCTTTGGATAGGTCTTGGTATTTCGACATCCTAATGAATAGGTAATGACTGAAAAATCTCATTAGTGAGCTCTTTACACTATGCACTTGGAATTCCTCACTGCCTTGCATAAATTACTTCCATATACAAAAAGAATTCATTAAAAATATTCTGGAACTTGATTTGAAAGAATGCAGATTCTTTTTTTAATATTTATTTTTTTAGTTGTAGTTGGACACAATGCCTTTTATTTTATTTATTTATTTTTATGTGGTGCTGAGGATTGAACCCAGGGCCACATATGTGCTAGACGAGCGCTCTACCGCGGAGCCACAACCCCAGCCCAAAAAGAATGCAGATTCTTAAAGTGTCTCTCTATATAATTTTCCCCATTTTCTACCTGGGTTCAGGGAAACATCTAGCAATTTCTTTTGTAAATGTATCCTTTCACAATAGATACCAAGGGATATGATTTAAATACTTAGTAGATGAATCTATATTCTATATGGCTACAATTCTGTGGTCTGAATCTTTCAAACAGTGCAATTCTTATCGATTATATTCTCACATTTAACATTCAACACTCAGAAATCAAAAGTAAGATGATCCATTTGGAAATTTAAAACCATCAGGGAATTCAACTAGTCAGGTTTATGTGGAGTATGATATAGCAGATAAAAAAAAAAACTATAGGTTTTGACATCAAGCCAAATTCCAGCTTAAGCCCTTAGTCAACAACAATGAACAAGCTACTTAACCCCTTCTATCCTCAATGTCCTCATCTGCAACATGGGGACAACAATGCCAACCTAACAGGAGTGTGATATTAAATGTGCCCCAAAACATTGATTCACATTCTCTACTATTTTCCCCACTCTCAAAAATTTAATTGTATTCACACAAAACTGACCAAAACTGAAAACCATAAGAGTTCCTTGAAACTGTTGTGACAACCAAGTATAACATCTATCTAAAGCTAAAAAGGATCACTTAACAAAAAACAAACTAGGAAAAAAGAGATTTGGGCTGAGGTTGTGGCTCAATGGTACAGCACTTGCCTACCACGCATGAGACACCGGGTTCAATCCTCAGTATCACATAAAAAATAAATTAATTAATAAATAAAAGTTATAAACAATGTTAAAAAAAGAAAAGAAAAACCCACAGAGGTTTAACATTCCAAAAGTCAACTCTTAACAAGTCTAGATTAGAACAAAAGCTAACAGAAACATGAATAAGAAAATGTTGATAAATCCTGTTACTTAAGGTAAGCAGCAAGGATATGCATTTTGAGCTGCTTAGTCAAAAAAGTGCATATGGGGATGGGTGTATTTTTTAGGCGCATATAAAAAGAAATGAGCCAAGATCCAGAATATCTGGTTTGATCTCTTCCTCTTCAAGGGGAACCTAACAACATTTATTCAGCAAATAACCATCGCGTACCTAACATTTACTAGATATCTTACTGGAAACGTAGGCCCTGACCTGTATCTTTCTAATAGCAGTAAAATTTCATAAAAAACATCTCAAAACCAGTAGCATAATTCTGAGATCCAATAATCTATCACTGGCCTCTTAATATACTTCTCAAGTCTGAAAATGTTCCCCAAAATGCTTTCTATATCTAATTTTCTTAGACATAGATCTGGTACTTAATGGTGTGCCTCCTAGACTTGACAGTTACTAAGACGCGGCCAATTTATCCTAGGATCCCTTTAACCTGCTCCTCCATCACATCCCATGCCCAGTAACTGGACTCCAATGTCCCCAAAATTTTGTGTTTGAAAGTTCACTTCTCAGCAAAATTCCTTATCTGATTCTATTGTTCGGGCCCCAGTGTGCTCCCTTTCCATACCATACACTCATACTACGGACTTCAGGGTCACCCCAAAACTGGGTCACGCTGCAAGTCACCCCTGGATCCCTCTTGGCCGGTACTCGAGTTTCAGTGTTTTCACACCTAGGTCTCCATGGGCCTGTACGCCCCCATCCTAGGATAACCAAGAAGCAGGGACAGCGCCTCTGGAATGAGGAGTGTTCTCCATCCCGGACCGTGGCCCACACTACCCACGAAGTGCCTCCCAGGCCATCACCCTTTCTTCCCCCTAAAAGCCTCTAGGCTCCCCACGCCTGTGCCGTAAGGTATCACGGCCGGTGCTACCTGACCCCAAGACGTGCACATCCCCACAACCTCCCCATCCCTTCATCACCCCCTCAAGGCCGAAGCCGGCGCGACCAATAAGGTGCCAGGTCTACGGCCTCCCCGCCACCAACCAATCACGAACGAGCCCCCCCGCCGTCGCCTTCCGCCAATGGGAGAAAGCCCGCGGGCCCGGCCGAGGCGGCGCACGGACCCCGCGAGTGCGGCGGCTGCGACAGCTGCGGGCCCGGCGAGGACACAACATGGCGGCGGCAGGCCGGACCGAACTGCACCAGCGGCCGCACGAGGGAAGTGAGGTCTCCGCCAAAGGCGGGAAGCGCTGCCCCTCCCCCCGCCGCCGCCCCCTCTAACCCTCTTCCCACTGAAACTCCCGCACACTCACACGTCCCTGCCGCGCAGTCTTGGGAAGAGCAGGAGCCGCCCCCGCGCTCCTGCGGCGTCGGGCAGTGCAGGGGCCCGGGCACGGTGGAGGGGAGGGGGAAGCGTGCGTCACGGAGAACGGAGCGCGCGCGGAGTGGGGGCACAAACAAGATGGCGGCCACGCCGTTTGCACCGTCTCCCCTTTTCCCCTCCCCCTCCCTTGGCGCCTCGACTCCCAGTGTGGTGCAGTGCGCAGAAGCCGAGTCAACTGGAGTCTCGCGAGAATTGGGAAGCGTCGACGAGGAATTGAAGCGGAAGAAGATCTGAGGGTTTTTATGATCTGGTCCCTTCCAGGGGATACAGAGGCGTGCGGTGGTGCTTGCTTGGCTGCACACGCTTATGAATTGTAGGGAATAGATAGCTTTGTGGTGTTTTGATTTGGAGAGAAAGATGGGAACGAAGGACGGCATGGGGAGTGCCAGGCTTAGCTCGCTGTTAAAGATAATTACCAGCACTATAAATTAATAAAGAGGACGTTTAGATGCCGCAAACTGTAAAACCATATCCTCCAGAATAAAGGAACAAGAATGGTTAGCTTGTAACCTTTCGTCAACAAAGAGCTTGTTTTTTTTCATTTGAATGCGTTGTAAGAAAAAAAATCGAAGACAATTGGGAACCATAGTGCAATGAGCGTCCACTTCTTTTTTTGTCTCCGCGACCACTTAAAAGCATTAATATTGTTTCCATTTTATAGATAGAAAACTAGCTCAAACACGTTAAGTGATTTGATCAACGCCCCTCAGCAAGTGTCAAACCTAATTAAGATGAAGTATGGAATTATATAGTGAGTTTAGGTAGCAAGCACAGAAAGTAATGGGACTGCCTCTGCTGATAGTAATCTTGAATTTTACAAATGACATTTGAACTTTTTGAGGACTTCTGTTGCATGGTAAAATCAATATAGAAGTAAACTAAACAATAAACAGTAAAATCAATATAGAAGTCTCTGTAGTCAACTAATCAGAGGCTTGGGGGAGGAGGAGGTTGTTTTTTGAGTCTAGAAGTTTGGGGGCAGCCTGGGCAACATAAAGAGACCCTAATGTCAAATAATAATAGTGAATAAACACAGTAGTAGTATTTTCTTTGGGTTCATAGCTGGTGATAAAGTAATGACTTGAATTCGGAAAGTTCTCATATCCAACTTGAATAAATCTCACTTTAGGCACTCAAGAATTTGATGAATGAATAAAAAAACCTAACTAGCTCAATTCCTTTATATGTAAAAGGAATAAAAAAACCTAACTAGCTCAATTCCTTTATATGTAAATGATTTTACTTCCTGGAATGTTGGGGAGATTGAATAAAAGAATGTGAGATTGCTTTATTGCAAAAGTGTTAGAAATTAGTGATAACAATGATGTTTTCAGACAAAATGTGTGTTGAGATTGTAGAGAAATTTTTAAAAAGTTAGGTCTTTCTACAAATATTTATTGAGCATTTATTGCCTATACTATGTTTGCAAAAGATATAAAATGTGTTGTAAGCACAAATTAGTGTCATTAATGATTATTATTACATTGTAATAAAGTATCAACAACACATAGGTTCTGTAGTCAATTTCCCTATAAGATCCTGGAAATCAGGATGCCCTTAAATACAAGTCTGTGTAGTACAAGAAATTAGCCAAGGGTGAGATATTTAACAAGTAGTGCTCTAGCATTGATCAAGCAGATTAAAAGTCAATTTAGAGGGTTGGGAGAGTGGCTTAGTGATAGAGCCACATTTAGCACACACCCAGGCCCTGGGGATCAAAAAAGAAGCCCACTCACTTAAGGTCCTAGTGATCTCTCTCTATTCCAGGTATTAACTCTGTTGTTGCTGGTTAATAGGGAAACCCAGGAGAAGAAAGTTTTTAGGAAACTTTTAGATAGTACTAAGATATTTCAATATTTTAATGGTCAGTATTATAACTGATAACATACTGGTGCATGTAAGCTGAGTATTAGTCCTTGCTGTAGATATTTTTTTCCTCGTGGTTCTGAGGATCGACCGAACTCAGGGCCTGGAGTATGCTAGGCAAGTGCTCTACTAGTGAGCTACATGTCTAACCCCAGCTGTATTATCAACATCCTTCCTATCTGTTCTATCCCTAAGGAATTAAATAATCTCACCCTAATCTCATCAAGTTTGGTCCTGTTTGTTTGTTAGTTACTGGAGTTTGAACCTGGGGTGCTTAACCACTGAGCCACATCCCCAGCCCTTTTTTATATTTTATTTAGAGACAGAGTCTCACTAAGTTACTGAAGCTGGCTTTGAATTCGTGATCCTTCTGCCTCAGCCTCCCAAGCCACTGGGATTCCAGGCATGCACTCAGTGAAATTTGGTCCTGTTTTGATTAAGAAAATTTAAGTAGGAAATGATATGAGCCACTTATGAGCAGAAATATATGAGCCATCTCATGATCCTGGCTTATCATTTTTTCTCTACCATGAAAGCAACATGTCCCAAATAAAGCTGTTTTCTCCAGCTTTGGTTTCAGAATGAAGATGTTGACAGTCACAGTTAATGCACGTGACATTACATGAATTAAACTATTTAAAGAAATAAACTGTTGTAATGTTTTGGTTGTTACTGCAGCATAACCTAGGTAGCCCAAGCTAATACAGCTCCCAAAATAGCTACTCCAGTGGTAAGCCAAAAGTTTATCCTCAAAACATCACGACAAAGCAAACTTTGGTCCAATCACAGGGAGGATTCTCAAAAAGACAAATGTGATTGTCATTTAAAAAAACAGAAGCCTTTATCAATCCATTATTTTATATGTTATTTAGACCTCTCTCTAAATAGGATATACAATGATTCTTTGCATGAAATAGGATATACAATGATTCTTTGGCAATGGCAGCCCAAAACAAGACAGTCACAGGGCTAATACTATCATTATTTCTCTAGGCCCTGTCTCAACAAAGACAGTCTGAGCATTAGGATTTCCATGTTCCTGTCATCTGAGTGATAGATAACATCTCAGGCTGCCTCTATTAAAAAATGCTTCTTAAGATCAATGTGCTTTCTGGATGTGATTCAGTACTTACCCAGCAAATGGGACAGAATTCAGTGATCTGCCACCTAGAGGGGTCTAGTTTTTATTTTTTTAGACAGGATCTATGTTCTCAGACTGGTCTTGAACTCCTGCACTTAAATGATCCTTCCACCTCAACAACCTGAGTATCTTGAGTAGCTGAGATTACAGGCATATGCCATCACATCTGGCTAGTTTTTTTTAAATAATTGTATTTTTTTTAAATTTAATCACATTCTATTTCTATTTTATATAAATATCATTTTCTAAAAGGTTAATACAAGGGCCCTGGGAGATTGTTGTATTCTCTGCTTATTATTAAAATCAGACTTCTGAATTTACAAGGTTAAAAATCAGTTCTGGGTTGATGATAAACTCCCTAAGGTTATAGCCCTGTGAAGGGACCAGGCTCCCGGACCAGCTGGACTTTAAGCCCTACCCCTCTATCTCGTTGTTGCTTTTGATCTAAAAGAAAAGCAAGTAGTGCCAAAGAAATAAAGGTCATGTACTGTTGTAGTTCAAAAAAGGGAGAGATTATTGCTACTGAGTATGAAATAATGGAGGGAGTTCAGGAAAGATTCGCAAGGGTATGACATTGAACTGGGTCTTGAAAAGTAAATAGAAGAGATGAAGAGCATGCCGTGTGTTAGCAGTAGTAAGCAAATACAGAAAGTAAGGGATCAGTTGAGGAAATACAGAATAAGAGGGAAATAAAGAAAAATCATATGGAAAGATATTAGAGTCAAATTAAGATTCTTGGGGGGCTGGGGATGTGGTTCAAGCGGTAGTGCGCTCGCCTGGCATGCGTGCGGCCCGGGTTCGATCCTCAGCACCACATACTAACAAAGATGTTGTATCCGCCGAGAACTAAAAAATAAATATTAAAAAAAAAAAAAAAAAAAAAAAGATTCTTGGGCTGGGAATGAAGGCACACACCTATAATCCTGGCAGTTCTGGAGGCTGAGGCAGAGGATCACAAGTTCAAGATCTGCCTAGGCAATTTATCAAGACCCTGTCTCAAAAAATAAAATGGGCTGGGGATATAGCTCAGTAATAAAGTGCCCCTGGGTTCAATCCCCAGTACCTCAAAGAAAAAAAGAATCAAGACTCTTGAGTCTTATTTTCTGCTAAGGAAAGTTCGTGGTGGAAGTTTGTTTTTAAGCAATTTTAACCAAGTTGAAAGTGCCCAGTGTGGTGACATTAAGTACATTCAAATTATTGTGCAATCATCTTCCTCTCCAACATCCAGAATTTTTCAACATCCCATATTGAAACCTTTTTTTTGGTACTGAGGATTGAACCCAGGAGTGTTTAACCACTGAGCTACATCCCCCGCCCTTTTTTATATTTTATTTAGAGACAGGGTCTTGTTAAGTGCCTCATTAAGTTTCTGAGGCTGGCTTTGAACTCACGATTTTCCTGCCTCAGCCTTCTGGCCACTAGTATTACAGGCATGTGCCACCACACCCTGTGAGCAGTACTCTTCTGATAGACAACTTTGACTCAAAGACTCAACAGCCATGCCAATCTTTTCTCAGAACTTCACTTAGTCTATTATGCTTCCACCTAGAACTTTCTTCCCTTTCTCCTTCACTTAGGATCAGCTCTGCATCATTGCGTGGCAGCTTTCAGTCTTTCCCAGTTAACTCCCATGATTTCCCACAGATGATTTTCTTACAATAAATATGTTTTATTGTATCTTGTATTGGTGTCTGATTTCCTGAGGATATGAACTGACATAATGGGGGGCGGAGGGAATGCTTCTTACCACGGTACCTCTTCTATACCCCATTAGCCAGAGGCTAGTGATCTGACCAATCATAATGGTCCATCTCCATGTCCTGTTCCAGTGCCTCCTCAGAGTCTCAGTCATTTGGCTCCCAGACTTCTTGATCCACCTCAATGACAGATATGACTGACAAGGTCTGAACAAGACTTTCTAGTTCTTCTGCCTTGTTGCAAACATGAATTCTATGTCTTCTACAACTTCCAGACCCTAATGACACAACTGCCTCACAGAACATGGAATCTGGCTTCCTGGGAAGTTGCTAAAGGGGCCAATGAAGCAATCCAGTACTACCCATGGGATGAATTGTCCAGTGGAAGACAAGAGGCAGGAAAGAGCAGAATAGAATCATCTACTCTCCCCTTCCTCCTCTGATGAACTGTTTGGAGGCATAATTTCTCCATATGACCCACCTAGAACTGCTTAAGAGCCAAGCAGGTACACCTGCCAATAGGGTACATTTGCCAAGACAGTAACTGTGTCTCTTCACAGCTCACTTAGAAGTAAACAGCAAATATTTCCTTGCGTTTTTTTCCATCTTCTGTTTTCCCTTGTCCCTCATTCCCTGCCCTAGGATTATGTTTCCCACATGAAGCTTTAGCACTTGACATTGTTTTCTAGGAAACTTGCTAACACAGGCCACAGTTTCTGAA